TCAATGGTCTAACGACTACGGCATGCACGACTATGAGTACACCCCCCTGTGTGTGAGGTCGCTCTTGTGCTGCGTACGCCGGATTGAGGCAACAAGTATTCCAAGGGAGTCGCCCAGGATGCAGGCCTCACTAGTAAAAAGTAGGGGTAGTAGAAACATCCAAGGTGTAGACGTTCGTCGAGGAGGAGATCTCGCCTCGTTACCATGTCCTTTTTCTTCTTCACCCATGCAAGTATGCATGAATTTTGCCCAATCTTAACTGGGGTGAGGGCCCTTTTTTCGCGCGCTTGCCGCGGGATCGCAGGTACTGGGGCCGCTGCTGCTCCAGCGGTTTTGCACCCTGGGCTCGTGCGACGGCATCAGCTTGATCAAGGTAAGCCGCACGGGGGGTGGTATGGTTTTACTGTACGGTATTTTCTGAGCCTGTGCGGTTCTATATGGGACGGTATGGTATGGCACTGCTGTGGCGTTGTTTGTCGCACGGTACAGTTGGAATTTACCAAAATGGGTGGCTCCTTCCGTCGCATTTTTGTACCGGAAATCGTGGTAAAACAATTCTACAACTGTGGGCGTTCTTCCTGTGTGTTGCTGTGCGAGTGTACCAATCGGTTGGTTACGTCCTTTGTTATATCTCGGAAGCATGGTACGGTACAGGTGTGCGGGGTTCCAATGTACTATCATTCGTTCCGTGGTGCTCTTTGGTAGGCATCACTTGCCTTCCCTTCCCTTCGTATCTGTCATGTTGGGCACGAACTAAGCAGGTGTCGCCATCCTTTCTTCGGAGACCTCCTGCAGAGCCGGCATGTGAAATGGACTTGAACCTGAGACACGCACAAGCATAATATCGGCCTCGTCCCGAGTCTCCCAGTGATTATCAACTCAAGAAACCCTAACGCTCAACGTATTGAAATATTGTCTATTTCCAGCCGCAAAACGTCCTCTGTCTCGCCCCAGCCGCTACATTTGCTCCTGTGAACCCCGTGCCCTCTTTTTCGTCGTTTTGTTTTTTCTGTTTCTTATTCTTTTATGTGTTTTTCATCCCTGTTGTCGTTCGAAAAAAGGCGACGCGACGAGCACACAGGGAGCAGACCCCTTGCAAGATTGCTAAGGTTTACCAGGTCTTCCCCTACAACCTCATGTCGGACTACGCCACGAACTCGAGACAGCCGTTCTGGCACATGTCGATGATCAGGGACCCTGTTGACCGGGTGAGCCATCCACCCCTTTCCTGTCTCTTCCTTCCTGTAGCCTTGGCGAGGATGTAGTCAAGATTTTTCAGTAGGGGTTACGCGGTGGGGTTGGGGGTTAGGGATAGAGATACGTAACCTCCTTCTCTACTTGATAGATAAATAAGATCCTTGCAAGGCGGTCCCTTTCCTGTCTGTCCTTCTGCATCTGCCGGCGACCCTCTGCGTTTCGAGGCTTTGTTTGTAACACAACGAATGCATCCCCTCCACAAACAAGAGTCTGGAATAGATTATCAATGAATTCATTGCATCAGCCGAAGCTATCTACTTTGCTTGTGCTTCTACGATTCCGCGAGCAGCATATAATAGTACGTTTGGTTGTCGCCGCGGTGTTCGGCGGCTTTACACGATGAAGGACATTTTTATTTTTATTTTTATTTTTGTTGTGCGAGTTTTGCTCTCTCAAGTCATGGGAGTTGATCCCGGATGCGGTCCATATCAAATGTGGGCCAGAGGTTGTGAAATTGTGAAATCGTGAAAATGTTGTACCTTGTCGGGAGAACAAAAAAAAATGACACCCGGGCGAAAGCCGGAATCGGCGAGGAAGTAAGCTTGCACGAAAAAATGCTCGGAAATATCTTGCTTGACGTTGACGTGTGCTAACCAAGCAAGGGTAGAGGTAGAGCATGTGGGACAAAGCAGGCCCAAGTTCAGTTGCAATAGGGCATGAAAGGCGGACATTTTCGAGTCGAAAAAGAAGGAAGAGAAATTCGCTCGAGATCACAAAACAAAATGACGATTCAACGATTCAGCTCGCGAGATGATGTAGTTATTCATAAATACCAGCAACGAGTTATGATGAACCCTTCATCAGTGTAAGTTCGAGCAGGGAGAAATATAGGGGAATGAGAGCCGAAAGACGAAGTAGTCCGCGCCACACCAAAGGTATTTCCCATATTGGTATTGGATAGAGTATGTCGGCTTGAAAACTCGATGGGTTTGTCGCTCAAGGCGCCTTTCTCTCACTCTCTCTGTCTCTGTCTCTGTCTCTGTCTGTCTGTCTGTCTGTCTGTCTGTCTGTCTCTGTCTCTGTCTCTCTGTCTCTCTCTCTCTCTCTCTCTCTCTTTCTGTCTCCCTCTCTCTCTGCTCCCTTCGGCTGCATGACACCTTTATGCATCAAACACCAGATCCTGGCGATGTTTCTGTCGCTGAAAGCGAGACTGGCGGAGGAGGCATCCCTGAGAACGGACGAGGCGTTGTTCGACAACGGGGAGCCAAGCGGGGTCGGGGTCGGGAACTACTGGAGCCGCACCCTCAACAGCTGGTGCGGGGATACGAGCTACGTTCAATACGGCGGAAACCCTCCACCAACGTTCGGGCCGGACATGACGATCGACGAGTACGTGGAGATTCCGGGTGTTGATGACGTCATGACCAAGGTACGTACGTAAGACTGTAAAAAGATTGGTGGATTTTTGCTTTTGGTTCGCTGAGGTCCGCTGGGCTCTTCGAGTCAAAAGCACGTCAGCTGTTTTTGAGCTTGGGAACCGTCGCTGATGGATGGTGGCAACTGGCAGCTGGTCCACACCAACATGCATGCTTTTGGTGTTCTTGCATGACGCTTTTGATGGCTCTACTACTATGCTCTGGTGTGCCAGCCCACTCCGGAGGCGTGCCTTGTACGGATGTATTAATGCGACTTGCGTGAATCTACGTTCGCATGTTTGTTTGACGGGGCTTGAGCACGTCGTCCCGCCGTATGCATTGTTTGGTTTTGAGCGGCTCCATGAAATATGTGAAACGAGTTGGAAGTAGAGGCGGGCGTCTGCACAGAAAAAGCGCAGTAGTTGGACGGTGCGGTTCCCACGAAGAATCGAAGAGTGTTGGGTGCGAATGGCTCATTTGAAAGTTTGGAAGATGCTATGGCCCGCCCTCTTGCGGAGCGCGGCTCACTTTTGGTGGTGAACGGCGCTTGAAAGCACGATCTTGATCACTTTCATCCATCGACTGTGAAGATGTGGAGGGCACTGTAGTTATTCGATGCATTCCAGCAGTGTCTAACTTCATCACCCATCAGCCATGACCCTTTGTCTCATTTGCATACAGAGAAGTAAGTACCGCTGAGAGAGAAAAAGAACGAAGCAGCAACTGCTTGGGCCTGCTTGCGCCCCGCCTTCCTCTCTCGCACACTTGCTTTCAAGTTTGTTGTGGCATTCGAGCCAAGCGTGACGTCACACAACCCCTGGCGTCTCATGTTTTGTTTTCGTCTTTCATTTTCTTCTTTTTTCTTTGTCGTCAGTTTTACTTCAACAGAGACTGGGACTCGGTCTGGCACGGAGGCGTGTGTACGGGGGGGGCGAGACCCGTGCCGTACCGCCCGGGGGGATGGGAGGAATTCCACCACTGGCAGGCTAACGCCGCCGTGGGGGCGCTCATGGAGTACCAGGTAATAGGGGGGGGGGGTACTCGGGTACTCTCATGTTTTGCGTGCCTTGACGGTTAGACCATTGACCACACGTCCTCGAGAGGGCGGAGCTTTGTTCCCACAGGACCAACCACCCAGGGGGGGTGGGGGGGGCGGGGGGCGTACGATTGCTTGAAATAGCCGTGCGCTCAACGTGTGTTGTGTGTACTGTTGGCGTGTTTCGTGGGAGTGAAGTCGTCGTGTATCTTGCTGGTCTCCTGGTGTTTTGTTGAAGGAAAGGCTACCGATAAGTTACGTAAGGTGCCACACGCCCTGGCTTAATTTTCGAAGGTTCTATTTCTGGAAAGCTCTCGACGACGGTTCCAACAATGCCGTATTTGGTATCACCGCTCTTTCTGCTGCGGAGTAGCAGTAGTCGATCCTTGGGAAAATCGGTCCGAGAGGCGTGTGATATCGATACCGTGTGCACAGGTCGCCTACGTTACGTGGCCCTCCCCTTGTCTGAGGTGGTCTCGGAGAGCTGGCTGCGTGTTTGAATGCGAGGGCCACTCGGTCGTGCACCCCCCCCGTGCTGTGTGCGGCGTGTGTGTACCCGCCGGTCAAGGTTGCGCGCTGCTGCTGAGTGATTGACTGTCCTTATGTTCTTCCCCCCCCCCCCCACGCCTGGTCCGGTGAGAACCCGGCGTGCTCCGTCCCGGCTTTGTAGGGATGCGAGGTCAATGGTCTAACGACTACGGCATGCACGACTATGAGTACATCCCCCCACCTTGCCTGCTGTGCGTGCTTGGCTCTGACCTGCAGCGTCTCCGTGCCCAGCATGCATCTATTTCCCCATGTAATAGTGCTCCTATAAGGGCGCCTCCGGTTCACTGCATACAATTTTTTTCCTGAGCGCCATGGGTGTACTGCATGCATCGCCCTTTGTTGTTCCTCCAGCTCTCTTAATTCGCCGCATGTCATGGGTGTGTTTGTTTTGTGTTTGCCTGCGTTCGTGCCCTTCTCTCAGTTTTTCGGCGTTTGGGAGCTGTGGCAAGCGTCGTCGCAACTGCTCAGGACCACGCTCCGCGCGGAGCTGTTGGACTCCGCGGACCTTGACCCCGCGCCAGAGAACGCCATCGTGAGATTAATCAATCTGCTATTATTGTTTCGGTTGCTGTCGCGGTGGCGGAGGGGGCAGGTGGTACCGTACAATCGTCCCGAGAGCTGTATGTATACTAGCATACGGTCTGCCGAACGCAACATCTGTTGTGTTTTGGAATATTTTCTTCTTTGTGTTGTATAAAGTGCGTTGGACTTGTGTTGTATCGCTGTGTGCCGCTGTGGGGAGCATTGCGCCGCCGCCCCCCCTCCCCCGCGTGTGTTGCGAAAGTGGGTGTCTATTCCCTTCGTCTGGTGTCTGTTTTGGTCTATTTGGAATAACATCAGCGGTGCCTTGGCCAAGAACGGCAATACGAGCGGTTGATAATGTTCTCGTGCTACCGCCTTAGCAGTGCGGGTTCTCGCCGTGCATCCTCCCGACACCTCTCGACACCTTTCTTTTGGCGCCGGTCGAGAAAGGGGCGTCGTTGTTGCGTACCGCCGTGGCTTTACCCTAACCGTATAGCCAAATGGACAAATCAAATACGATCCAAAATTTATGTTGTTGGAGGAGTTCGGCGGATGTTGCATCGAGGGGTCGATGAACTTCCGGGGAGGAGATCAACTCTCGCTGCTGTCATAGGTACTGCCTTAAGGGAGTGAGCGTCAGCCATTTACCAGTGCTCATCAAACCCGCGTGACGTGGCGTTTTCGTTTGATCTCTCTTTTTTTTTTTTTTCTTGTCAGGACATGCTCGGGGTGGGAGAGGGCGGGGCGGTGGAAGAGCAAGTGAGGCATCTAGCACAAGACCCCGAGATTCGAAGGTCGGATAAGGGGCCCAACCGATGTAGTTATCACGCTCCTCGAGGCTCCCACTATGCATGTACTGTATGTAGCCGAGGAAGGCCCGCAGAGATGGATCGCTTGAGTGTGCGTGTGGAATGAAGCAAAGATCATGCTCGAGGCAAGGCGGAACTGAGGTTGAGAGCGTGTGTGGGCCCGTGTTGTGCGTGTGTTTTTTTTTACAAGCGCCGAGCGTGCGAACTGGTCGGCCGATGAGAAGAAGGTCGTTCTTAAAGCGGGAAAAAGAAAGCGATCACACGATTTCTAGCCATCGGGCTCCCCCGGCAGGGGTCTCTGTCTTTCTCTCTTTTTTTACCTGTGTGCATGTGTCTCTCCCTGTCTGCCTCCGTCTGTCTGTCTGTCTGTCTGTCTCTCTCTCTCTCTCTCTCTCTCTCTCTCTCTCTCTCTC